GCGCTGCCACCATATATACCATGCTGCTACAACTGCAAGCTTTGCCTTTGGTACCTCCGCATCCACGCCCTGAAGTTTTGATAAAATTTCCATCGTAATGGACCCTGATCAGTCCTTAGCGACAGTTTCCCGTATGACTTGTAATAAGCCCAGCCGCTCCCAAACTTTTGTAGCTCGTCGGCACTTAAATAAACAGTGTTGTGTGTCTTCCGCCCCGACCGAACAAACGGGACATTGAGCTGAGCATGAGACGTGTCGGTTTGCTAATACACCAAAGCATGGAAGGGCGCCACGCAAAACCTTCCATGCAAAATGTTTTATCTTCCCTTTGGAAATTAATATAAGACTGTTCGGATCACTATTTTAGTCATCTAAACAGTTTCATATTAGTTTATAGAGGGAGTATGCAGTAGTCTAGTGTATATTTGAGAGTGGCGGGAAAGCAGTATCTAAATTCCCAGCAAAAAAAGTAAATTCTAAAAAGCTACTACCTCCTTTCCTATTTATTGGGTTTATTAGTCCCGCTTTTATGCCTCTTTACATAGATTCTGAAGCACATTAAGTCAAACATATGTCATTAGATTCAACATAAGACGTAGTTTCATATTTTGTATACTTACTATTATAGATATACATAGTTATCTCTATAAATTGATCAAATTATGCAAAATTTAACTTTTTAAAAATCTATACGCACTATAATATAGAACAGAGGGAGTATAAGGACAAAGTATAGTTGCCAACTTGTGTTTACACAAGTATATCCGACCTTTTTACATAAGTACAACAACAGGAAGGTTCACTCAGTTTTAACCCTATTTTTGGGCGAGGGAGCTGAAAATGAAGACGAAATATTTTACAAAAAATACAAGGTGAAATTCGTGGACTCTCCAATACGAAGATATCAAATGGGATATATTTTTTGTCAAAGAAAATAAAACCATCCATTTGACCATCTAAATATTTGGGCATCCACGGGCAAAACGGCCTGCAGCTGCAAAACCCTACCCGTACCCGGCAAGGCAGCAACCAATCACCAAATGGCAGTCCAAACAATCCCCATCCAGTCAAACAAATCCCCTCCACCTCACTTGACTTGAACTCTGCCTCTATAAGATGTCTCGTCTCCCCGCCTCACACCACCACCACCTGCTCTCCTGCACCTCGCGATCGAGAGATATCGCCGATCACTTCCTTCCTTCTCCTCCGCCGATCGAACGTGTTCTTCCGTGTCCGCGGCAATGGAGAGCGTGGAGGGGAACGGCACCGGCCGCGGGAACCTGCAGCTTGTGGTGTCGGAACTGTGCCGCGTCCAGGAGCTGGTGCGGCAGCTCGAGCTGCACCTGCACGCGCCGGACGCCTCCATCGACCTGTGCCGCGCCCTCACCGCCGAGATCTTCGCGCTCACCGACAGGTCCATCGGCTTCGTCGCCGCACATTTCCCCGACGCCCCGACCACGCCCTCCAGCACGTCCAGCTCCCTCAGCGGCGTCTCCGACCAGCCCTTCAGGACCAACACCAAGAAGAGGTAAAAAGAAAGGCCCAACTCAACTCAAATGCTCGAACAGAGCACCATTGGAATGGAATTGGATCATCCAAATGTGCCGAACTGTTGTTGAATTCTTGGCGCTTCGTCGATGGTTCTTTGCAGGAAGGCGACGGCGAGGTGGACGAGCCAGGTGAGGGTGAGTGCGGCCGGCGGTGCGGAGGGGCCTGGCGACGACGGCCACAGCTGGAGGAAGTACGGGCAGAAGGACATCCTCGGCGCCAAGCACCCGAGGGCGTACTACCGCTGCACCCACCGCAACTCGCAGGGCTGCCCCGCCACCAAGCAGGTGCAGCGCGCCGACCAGGACCCCGCGCTCTTCGACGTCGTCTACCACGGCCAGCACACCTGCAGGCCAACGGGCAGCGGCGGCGGCAGGAGGCCGCCGACGAACCAACACAACCCGCACGCGGAGAGCCTGCTGCAGAGCCTCAGAGCCGGCCTGACCGTGGACGCGGACCACGGCGGCCCGAACGCCAGTGTCTCACCGTTGGGGGCGTCGCCTGTGGCGTCTGGCTCCAACGGTGGTCTGACCATGTCGCCGTACCCGGTGCCAGCCGGCGCGTACACGGAGTGGCCGCTGGACGGCGACCTCCAGGAGGTGGTGTCGGCGCTCACAGCCGTGTCGGCCCCGAGCATGGACTGCCTTTTCGAGTTCGACCCGACCTTCGGCGATGGTGTGCCCAACTTCTTCATGTGAGGACGACCAACAGTCAACAGAGCATCGAAGTGGAATTATATGACACTACCCAGCCCCTGCCTGTCCTTGTAAGAGGGAAGAACAGAGCACCAAAGTGCAGATTTAGGAACTAAGCAGAAAGCCTTAGGATATCTGAATAGTTATTTCTTTTCTTCTACATTTTTGATTGGTTAGGTTTTGTTGATTTATTTTGTAAGGAAACAGAAAAAAATAAGGTGTTGAAATTCATGTTCTCCTGAATCCATGAACTGTATCCTGGAACTGTCCTTTAAAGCTTATACTTATCTTTGGACATTGGAGAATTGGCCCTTTTGAAGGAAGTATCCACTCCTTTTGTCAAGAACCTTTTTTCTCTCGTAGAATCAAGCGTTCTGAGACTGGCTAGAAGAAACGTTGGAGCACATCAAATATAAACAGAGTGAGAACCACGTCCGGTTTCATGCTGTCAGAGTTGGACACTATTGTGAGAAAAGAAGATACACATTCTGGAGGTCAATAAAGAAGCAAACTTCCAGAAATGCGTTACCACAACAACAAGTGGTTACAGTGACAGTCGCGAAAGTCCTAATCTGAGCTCGAGCTCAAATGCTCTTGGCATGATCAGTAAAAATAGGAAAAAAATAAAAAGTAATTCAAAAATTTCTGATTTTTCTTTTGGCAAAGAATAAGAAATTTTTCAGGTGCTTAAATTTTTTCAGCATGGAAACACATTTGTGGAAGTCATGGCAGAAAGGATAAAATCAGCTCCCCAAAATGCTTCTGAAAGTAGCATCTTTGGATCATCATTTTTTTTGCCACGACTTCCACAAATGTGATTCCATGATGAAACTTTGCAAGCACTAATTTTTTAATGTTCTTCAAAAAGAAAATCAGACCTTTTTAATTTTTTTTTTCATATTTTTAGTTTCACTGTTCACCCAGGGCTCATTTGAGCCCGTGCTATGAAACTCTTTGTCCAGTCAGTCAGTGCTATATCTCGCTTACTATGAGACGCACCGTCAGCTCACCTACAGTACCGCACGAAATGAGCCAGCCCAACAACGTTTTCCAGTGGTTTTATGAATCATCTACGGACCAGAATGGACCAGTTTGGAACCTTCATAGGAGCGGTTTTAGAAACCTTCCTCCCACTTTAAAGAAATTCCAGGTGTTATTTTTATTTTTTATATCTATTTTTGTTATATTTTCCTTTTCTTTACTTTATTTCATATTTTCAATCCTTCTTTTGTAAAAAGAAGAATTGAATTTTTTTTATATGTCATCAACATATCTTCAAATCGTGACAATCATTATTTACCTTTTCAAGAAAAAAATAAAAAACTAGTGGACATTTTTAAAATGTAGTGAACATTAAAAAAATATATGATATTTTTTATGTTTTCATGAACATTTAAAAAAAAAATCAGATGTCTATGTGAGTGTTGTGAACATTTTTTATGTGCCACGAGCATTTAGAAAAAACATTGCATGAACAATCGTTTACAACGAGGCGTGAAGAAACATGCAGGTTTTGCACAAAAAAAACCCTTGCCTTATGCCTATAAAGTCCTATGCATACAACAACTCATCCTTCATCAGCGAGTATCTCAACATTGTGCTTACTCTAGAAAACAATGAGATGTTCACCAAAAAAACTATATGACATTTGATCGAACACCTGTAAGGCATGGTGTCCACCATTGATGGCGTCGGTAAGGGGAAGAGAGTATCTGGCTACTGACGGATCCTGAGTGGACAGTGGCATAGTCCAAGGCGAGCATGCGCATGGGTGAGGGATGCAGACGTCCGAGGATGCTTGGGCGGCGTCCAGAGAGGTGCAGCGGCGGACGAGAAGGAGGGTGTAGATGCAAAGTAAATGAGAAGTAGGGGCGGAGTGGAAGGAAAATGGACCAGAAGGGGATTTGAGTGGGCCAGGATGTCGCAGTCCTATGTGATGACGGTTCGGACACACAGGGCCTCCTCAGTTTGCATCCGGGTTGTAGGTATTCAGACAACCGGACTGGTCCGCAGACCGAGGGGTACCACGTTGGATGACAAATTGCGTCTGGACACCTCGTCCGGATCCGGACGGTTGCTGGGCTTTTGAGGGTCAGCGTTAAAGACGCCTTTACACTTTTTTTAGGGACTTTACATTCGTTTCAAGTAGGTAGAGAAATGTAGATATATAAATAAATATAGAGATAGAGATAAGATAAAAACGAAGTGCCCTGCGAAAAAAATAATAGAAATGGCGCGGGCTAGTTAACGCGGTGCCTTCTCTGTTCACGCACCGCTTTTCTCCTCCCCTTTCGCCACTTCCACCACCGGGATATTCTTTCCTGCTCGAAGACCAACGACCGGGGATATTTTCATCTCGCGCGCCGAATCCTCTCCGAATCCTGAGGGCTCCAGCCTCCAGGGACCTCGACCGCGATTCGAGCTGCTGTGCTGGCCAGCAGGACCGCCCGCTGCAGGCCTCCGGCTCCCAGGGAGGTAAAATCATCCATCATAGGTGCCGCCGTCGGCGCGCGTGTTTTTCCGCCGATTATTTTTGGAGGGTTCGGTCTTGCTGCGTCCGAATGTGTGATCCCTCCCTCCCTGCCGCGCTGGGTTGCTCCGCTCGTCTGGGTTCGCCGGCGGTGGTTTGGGAGGTTTTGGCCGGCCGCCGCGCTGCGCTTGAACGACTCTTGTTCGCAAGCTGCAGTTTTTCTCTCAGAGTTTCTCGGTTCCTTTCTGGAATTCACTCGATTCTCGTGGTTTTCCTTGGCAGGGACGATGGCCGTGTACTTGAACGACGATTTGGAAGACCTGCAAGACGACCACTTCGACTCCGACGGGTTTGGCGTCTCCGGCGGCCGCGACGGCCATCCCTCAAGCCCGGTATGTTAAACAAGTCTCACTACATGTAATAATTTGGTAGTTCGTGTGTTGGTTCAAGCCTTCAATACGGAAGGAGATGGTTGCTGGAGTGATCTTACGTGCAGACCACACATTAATTTTGCTAAAGCTAAATAAAGCATGTTCGCAATTCAGCCACGGAATATTGAGGTGGACATATGCAAATGTTGCCGATGACCCTACCTAGTGGAAATGGTTGGCACTAAAAGGAAATTTTAGTGCTAAATTAGCTTTCGGAGTGCCTGCCGAAATACAACAACATCACTATTGAGGTGGACATATGTGATGGCAACGAGCCAACAACTGGGACACCTACTAAATCATGATGTAGGAATGTGCACATGGACATTTATGATTTCTAAGATTATATTAGTTTTCTCTGCCCCCAGAAAAAACCTTAGTTATCTCTGGGACAGTATATAACATGTGTATATACTTGAGCCTTTCTAGACATGTTACTTTCCCTTTTTGTTAGATTATTACTCTGGATTGTTTTGGTTTGTCTGAACAATTGCATTCTTTCCTTTGTTTCAAGGCCATTAAGACCTCAATTTTGTTCTTGATGCAGAATAAGCATAAGAATGATACATCAGCCGTGGAGTACAGAAATGGAAAAGATATGCAAGGGATACCATGGGAGAGGTTAAAATACAGTAGAGATCAGTATCGCAAGATGAGGCTGAAGCATTACAAGAATTATGAGAACCTCGCTAGGTCACACCAGGGGTTTGATATGGTGAGATTTAGTGTTGTACACTTCTACACGAGTGGCATTGCTGCAAAGCTGTTTTTCTGCTTATCGCCCTTTTGGCTCTTCATGCCAATTGTGATGATAGTTGTCATCTTCTTTCCTTGCTTATAAAGGTTGGGGTTGGTTGTGAGTTCACCTCTATTTTTTCCACTATTACTCATATGTGGGAACAACAACCTTAGTTGGTTGCACATGGCAATGGCGGTGTTTACACGCCTTCCCGTTCCTGAAGGCATTGCTTGGAGTTGCTCGGATTTGATCTTCAGGGTGAAAACCTATGATCCGACCTTCAGTGGTTGAATCCGGCAGCGGCGGCGCGGTGTGTCGTTCCCTTCCTAGGTTGTTGTTGAAGTAGACCCGGGTATGGGCAGCCCGGCTGATGACCCGACCTAAAAAACAAAGGCCCGCCTGTGTCAGGCTTGTCAATCGGGCCTGACTCGGGCCTCCTTTTGCAGTCCGGAAGGTAGTTTTGGGATGGGTTTAGGCTTCTATTTTTCAAGATTTCGGGCCGGGCTTGCATGTGCAAGTATCGAAAAGTGAATTCGGGCTGGGCTTTCGGGCTTCGGATTCGACTTTGGGCTGGGCTCAGGCTTGAGAAAAGAGGATAGTTCGGGCTGGTATTTTGAAGGTCGGGCTCTTACAAGCCCGGCCTGACACATGCTCAGGTTCATGTTGAAGAACCTCTCTCGCAGTTTTTGCTTTGCCAAGGGCGGTAGTTGGTGTTGCCTGTTGCCGCGTCTGCCATTCGGGGTCATGTTTTTTTTTGTAATAGGTTGCTGTGTGCATCCTTGATGTCTTGACTAGCTCTTGATATCATGTTGGTTGCAGAGGCCAGTATAATTGGTATCTTCTTGATATTAATATATGTCCTTTATCCGAAAAAAGATTCTTCAACGCCTGCCCGCATGCAAATCTGTCCTCATACTTTTGCTCTCTTTTAAACCATGAACCACACGATAGTCACACATCATTAATATTTTTTGAAAATCTCCTAAGCTGATGGTCCAACTTCTCTCTCTCTTTTTTTTTTGCTTCGTGGCAATGCACTGGCATTGTGCTAATGTTCCAATAAATGCGAGATAGCTCACTCTCTGTGTTAATCATATTCGTAAAATACTCTTGATTGTTTTGTTTGGTGTTACTAACTACTACCTAGTACTAAGTATTAACACCAAACGTGTTCCACTTCCATAAACACATGCTTTTTATGCAACCTTTTCACCTAAACTCTTTTATCACACCTTGCTAGTTGTCTGTTGACACAAAAATGGTCGGGTTTGTTTTGGTATCTATCTCAGGTTCAACTATTGAGGTGACACTCCAAGCAGACAATACATCTTCCCATAACGCCATAAAGAATATTTGTTTGTTTGTTATATGGTTGTAAATTCTTATGATAGCCTTTAGCTTTTTGACTTATCTCCTCCCCCTCCTTCTCTAGGAGTGCAAACAAGTGGAGACAAATGACAGGTTCTATGATTTCTGCTTCAACACACGACTTGTCAAGCCAACGATAGTGCATTTTCAGGTACATTTATCTTCCACTTTTCTAAGATATTGATTTTTGCATTGATATAAGAATCTTAACATCAAAGGTGTTAAACAACATGTTCAATTATTTAAAGAATTCCAGAGTTTGTGACTGTTACTCACTATAGTTAGCTCAATTTTCAACATTTTTAAAGGAAAAATATGTGCACTCAAACCACGTGGAATGTTTTACTTTCCGAAAAAAAACTGAGCACAAGCTGTTAATATGGTTGCCCACAGTTACTACATCATAATGCATTGCATTTTTACTCCTCATATGTAGTAGAAGAACTTTCAGTATTCACCTCATTGTTTACCTTTACTAGTGCAAAGATTTAACTGTTCCCTCTCTGTCCTCTCTACTCTTATGTCTTCTGCTCCAAAAAGAAAAACAAGTATGAGGAAAGCTTATGCCAAAAGCATATAAATAATAACTGGTGAATGCCTGATATATTCACATTATATTAGCGTTTTGCATTTTATGTTCTTACTCTGTTTTGTAGATGTTGTGAGATTCTTGAAGCTTTGACCGGTTTTGATTTCGTTAGGTGAAGCTTCTAAACTTCATTCGTGTCTATTCCTTTGGTATAGACTGCAACTATAGCGTAACAGTGAGTGCAGGTCATGTTATAAGTTGTGTCTGATCTGGTAACTGAAGCTGTAGTTTCATTTCTGCAATTAGCGGTCTTGTATATTAGGATAGAACTGCAATACAATGGACTCAACAAGGTTCTTAAGCAGGTGGTTGAGCATCCTCAGTGGCCGGCGCTGTCATATGGCATCTTTGGAATATGATATGATAGGTTATTATAGCAAGGTTCGGTTAGATTATTCATATTCCTATTTCTTTTTGGCAGGTTGAACCTTAGAGAGATGCTAACAAAATTTTATGCAGGACTTCTTATGGTATTAACTTTGACCTACTAAAAGTCCTTGAACACTACATCTTTTGCATTATTAGCCGAGTAAATTGTGTGTGCATGTCTTGCATTCTCGGAATACATTCTTCCGTCAATTATTGTACTATTTGACATTTTGATGTCATTATATTTCCATGAGCTCGTTATCATGGTTATGGGTTCCGGTTCCTGAAAGACGTTATCTGCTTATCCTCTTTTAAATTGCTATAACTAGTGTGTGGCCGCACCTACACTGATGTTCAAAAAGTCTGCATTAGCCCTTGAACTTCTATAAGGAGTTGAAAATTGGGTCACTAACTCACCATAAACTGTTGCATTGGATTATCTTCAGTTAGTTTCAAGTAAGAAACCAAATGCTTCTTCAGGTGTATTTTACTAACGATGGTTGGTGTTTTAGACATATGTATTCCTTTAGAGCATATCCAGTGTTTGGAGGCAACCTTGCCTCTAAACTACCCATGGATCTGCCTCTTAACCATAGATGAAAACTCTGCAGTGTGCAGCCTCTAGCTTTAGAGACAAAGCCGGGCCCACAATTAAATAAAATATGATGCATTTGTTAATCAACTCATCGGTCCCTCCAGCACCTAACTGGCTGACAGTGGGGACATCAGAATATTTTATTCAGCACAAAGCATTGGAGGCCAGTGCTTAGCATAGAGGCGTCTCCAAGAATTTTTGGCTTAGAGGCCGACGATAGTGTATAGAGGCAGTGTTCATAGGCCTAGAGGCAGCCTTAGAGGCGCCAAATACTCACATTGTGGATGCCCTGCTGCATCTTGAAATACTCCTAGGTCCTAATCCTAACCATAATGGTAAAGAGTTACAGTCTGTAATGGAGTTGGTCAAATGGGAGTGATGCCTAGAAATGTGCATGAGTGTGTAGGGAGCTATTGGTCCTTTGGTTTGTGCAGTTTCAGACACACATCAGGTTGCCAATCAGTTTTCCATCAAATTCTTATGGATACGGTAATGTGCTCTCATCTGCTGTTTTGCCAGGCCTTTTTTGTTCTCTTTCTTAATACAGTTGTTTGTAAGATAATTTCAGTAATGTTGTAAAGACCATGGAGAACATTATGTTACTATCACTAAGCATATCGTCAAGATCAAATTGTCAGTGCTTGGTTGCTACGATCAACTAGAGTACTTTTTTTCTTTCTTTTGGATAAACAACACCTGCGAAGCATTGTTCACATTTTCTACTCCGAAGGCACTGACCATTCCTATTCTTGGTATCTTCAGCTAAGGAATCTTGTGTGGGCCACATCCAAGCATGATGTTTACATGGCACAGAACAATTCAGTAATGCACTGGTCTTCTCTTCTTCAAAGAGGGACAGAAGTGCTCCACGTTGCAGGCCAAGTTGTTCCAAAGCAGGTTTGCATCTCTTCAGTGCGTGCCTTTTTTCTGTTATTTTTGTATATCTAACCTCCGATCTATACTCCCTGCTTCACAGAAGGCGCATGGAGCTCGGACATTGTCCAGAGTCCAAATCAGCTCAATGGCCCTAAAAGACAATCTCATGGTAGCGGGCGGTTTCCGCGGCGAACTGATTTTCAAGGTATAGTCTCAAGACGCGCTGAATTTTCAGCCATTTTATGTACCCCTTAGCTCATGTAATTGTTTCTCGACAGTATGTTGACAAGCCCGGGGTGGCATTCTGTACGAATGTTGCTGATAATAAAAACTCCGTCACTAATGCTGTAGATGTGTATGAGTCTCCTAGGTAAGAACTGCACAGTTTCGTCGATATTCTGATTTCGAAATTGTGGGCAATACGTGATCGACTATCGGATTTCCTGTTGTCAAAATGCAGCGGCGCTACTAGAGTGACGGCGGCCAACAATGACTGCACTGTCAAATTTCTTGATGCTGAGAGGTGCAGCCTGCTTAGCCGCTTTACTTACCCGTGGTCGGTCAATGTGAGTGAATCCAAGCTCCTCAGTAATCTTGAACTCTAGTCTTGCTCCTGGAAGGTGAATCATAAGTTGTCATGTCCTTCACAGAACACATCGGTGAGTCCTGATGGGAAGCTCCTTGCTATCCTCGGCGACAGCTCCGACTGCGTGATCGCCGACGCTCAATCGGGCGAAGTACGCAACAGATCATCAGATCACATAGCCTCAAGTCCCCCTTCATTCCACCAGCAGAAAAACTGAGCATTGTTCTTGCTTACATTTCTAGGAGATAGCGACTCTCAAAGGGCACCTGGACTACTCGTTCTCATCGGCCTGGCACCCCGGCGGCCACGTCCTGGCGACGGGGAACCAGGACAAGACGTGCCGGCTGTGGGACACGCGCAACCTGTCTGCGTCGTTCGCGGTGCTGGGAGGGAGGATCGGCGCGGTTCGGGGCCTCCGGTTCTCGTCGGAAGGGCGGTTCCTGGCGGCGGCGGACTTCGTCCACGTGTACGACGTGCAGGCCGGCTACGGCGCCGCCCAGGAGATCGGGCTGTTCGGGGAGATCGCGGGCGTGGCGTTCAGCCCGGACGCGGACGCGCTGTTCGTCGTGGTCGCGGACCGGGCCTACGGCAGCCTGCTCGAGTTCAGCAGGCGGGGCCGGCACGCTTACCTGGACTCGTACCTGTGACTGTGTGGAACAGTCATGTCGACCGTGTCGCTGCCGCTCGTCGAGTAGATGCCTAGATGTGTGTATAGTGCTCCATATGTCAAGTGGTTTCAGTTCTGTATATGCGGAGTGGTACAAGTTAAAAGATGCTACGGTGCAACTGGGTACAGATGGTACATGATTTGGACTGACCCTGATTCAGAAGTCAGCAGGTCCTACAGAATTTGGTTCGCGTGAGAAGAGTTTAGTCTTTTGATGACTGGCCTTGCACCTGGGTGCACTTCACATGCCATGTACTTGTACCTCATGAGGCTATATGCCTCCTTTGAAATATAAGGTCGGCCATGAGCCACCTTCGTTTTCAAAAAAAAAAAAAAAGACTGGTGCGCTTTGGGAATAGGTACCTTCCAACTTGGGGCGTTTGGTAGGCTGCATACAGGATACAGCCTAACCAGGCCCGGGCGGGATGGAAAATGCCTGTTGGTTGCATGCAAGGAGGTCTGGTTTGCATCGACACGATATTCAAAACACCTCAGAGCTTGCCTCGTTGGGAACGTTTGAATCGGCTGTTTCCAGCTAGTCGGACTGCAAAAATTGGTCCCGACGTAGGGTGCGGTGCAGGGGGATTCGAAAACGCCTGATATCATATTGGTTACAGAGGCCAATCAGAGCCTGCTTTGTTGGGAACGCTTGAATCGGCCGTTTCCAGCGAGTCAGATTGCAAAAGTTGGCCCCGACGTAGGGTGTGGTGCAGGGGGATTCGGAAACGCCTGATATCATATTGGTCGCAGAGGCCAGTATAATTGGTATCTTCTTAATATTAATATATGTTCTTTATTGAAAAAATCTATTCTTCAACGCCTGCCGCATGCAATACTGTCCTTGTATGTTTGCTCTCCTTTAAACCATGAACCGTGCGATAGTCACACATCACCAATAAACTAGGTACCATCTGAACGAGTTATTTGGTAGGAATTATCCTAGGACTCCTCGGAAACTGTTCAATCTCAGATACTTCAACCTTAGAGTTATAGTTGAGAGGGCATTTGGAGCTGTGAAGAATATGTTTAAGATTCTGAATCGGAAGCCATTCCACCTTTACCCTATCCAAGTTAAGCTTGTTTTTGCATGTTGCATCATTCATAACTGGATCCTACAATAGAGTTATGATAAACTTGTGCCGGACGAGAAATATGTGACGCCTGATGAGGTGGTCAACTCCGGCCATGGTGGAGGCGTTTGACAACGAAGTGTGGAAAAACAAAAGGTTGAAGTGGCCTCAAAGGTCAGACAAGGATTTGAAGAAGGACAACAACACAAGACAAGAAGAAGAAGCAGCACAACAGCAGAAGAAGAAGAAGCAGCAACAAAAGAAAAAGAAGAGGAAGAGGACGGACTTCTACCTAGTTAGCAACATTAAACTTTGCCCTATTCAGTCATAGGGCTCTTAATAATTTATACTGCCATTTGTTAGTAGTTAGGATAAATTGGCATTTGTTTCCTCACTAGGACAAGACGATGTTCAGTGTGTGTGGTAAGGTCACCACCAGTGAGAAGTGATGATCACACCTTATGCCGTTTGCAACCAAACAACGTGTTGTTTGTTTAACATCAGCGACGCAGACAACCAAATAGCGTGCTACAAATTGCTTTCTTTGATGTAGGGAGCGTAATGCAAGCAATCAAACTACATGCAAATGTTTTAATTTTTAGGCTGCATTAGTCTAAACAGATTCAACTGAAACAAGTATGCAAAATGGACTAAAACAGAGATATCAATCAAACGCGCCCTTGGCAACTACAGTTTTTCCTTTTTTTCACTTTGAGCTGAACTACGGCTGCTTTGATTTCCCATAGGATTGACGCGAATCATCGCTTTTTCTATTTTGCCAACCAAAGGAATATCAGCACATTGCAAGTCATCTGTAGTCTGGTTTATAAGGAACAAAAACATGCATTGTTTGCTTCCAGAGAGCTACCACTGGCTGGTGCTCTGTCCCGCCATTCCTCCACTACGGACTCAACCTGCAGAGCTGCAAAAAATGTAAGGTGTAATATCACATGGTATTTATTAAATTCATGCTTCAATCAATTCATTTAAAAGTTCAAAATGATTAAAAGAGACAAGCAATATATCTCAACACGACCGTGTCACGTGTAGACTGATTCCGAATTATTTATGCTCCAATCAACACATCCAGAAGTCCGAATTGATAGAGAAAGACGGGAAACATATTTCAAACAGTTTTAGGTCGCATGCGAAACTAGATTGTCATTTCGATTGCCTGGTGACAGTAATCACATTCCACATGTCACCGTTTTTATCTCAATGCATAAAGGAATGGATTGTCGGCTTATTTTGCATAACAAGCGAATAATTAATAAAGTGGCTGCATGCATTATCCATATGCAGAGGCCGGGGTGTTCCTCCTTTTTTTTTTTAAAAAGTACCTTCAAACTAAAACATTGGCCCAGATTACCGCTAGACCTAATGACTCACCGTCTTGGAAGGGGTTAATGAGGCATGTGGTTGAGATGGTTAGGTGGACAGTGGTATCCCCAACCCACCAGGTTCAAATCCTGATGCTCGCATTATTCCTGGACTTATTTCAAGATTTCCGGCGATGCGCTTTCAGTGGGAGGAGACGTTCCCGTCGACGACGAGGTGCCTACGACGACTTCGTAAGTCTCAAGATGATATGCCGGCTCAGTCTTTCGGAGGTGCTCATAGGGGTAGGGTGTGCGTGTGTGCGTTCATAGGGATGAGTGTATGCGCATGTATATGAGCGCTTGTGTCTGTACCGATGCTAAAAAAAAAGAGGATGAAAGAAATCTTTTTTCAGAGGGTGAAATTTATCATTGGTAACGGTAATATGACTAGATTCTGGGAAGATGCATGGCTAGGGGAGACACCTTTAGCCCTGCAATATCCCACATTAAATGATATTGTACAATGTAAGTAAGCTTATGTCGCTACAGTATTACAAACAATCCCTCTTAATATCCAATTCAGGAGGTCGTTGGTGGGGGAAAATTGGAACTCGTGGCTGAATTTGGTGCGCAGGTTGATGGATGTTCAACTTTTGGATCAACCAGATGCCATTCACTGGAAATTATCTAGGAACGGTTGTTTAACGGTGAAATCGATGTACTTGGATCTAACTGGATCAATCTCGAGATCACTTCATATCTGAAAAATTAAATTTCCACTTAGAATTAAAATTTTATGTGGTTTTGTCCACAAGGAAGTGATTTTTTTGCGGGAAAACATCCAATCTATTCATCTTCAATCATGGCAGTACAACGAACACCAGAAATAATAAAAATTACATCTAGATCCGTAGACCACCTAGCGACGACTACAAGCAATGAAGCGAGCCGAAGGCACGCCGCCAGCATCGCCCCTCTCTCATCGGAGCTGGTCAAAACTTGTTGTAGTAGACAGTCGAAAAGTCGTCGTGCTAAGGCCCCATAGGACCAACGCACCGGAACAGCAACCGCTGCCGATGAAGAGTAGCGTAGATAGGAAGGATCCAACCTGAAAACACATGAACCTAGACGAACGACGAACAGATCCGAGCAAATCCACCAAGGACAGATCCGTTGGAGACACACATCCACACGCCTACCGATGACGCTGAACGTACCACCGAAACAGGGACTAGGCGGGGAGAACCTTATTCCATCTTCAGGAAGCCGCCGCCGTCTCGCCTTCCTAAGTTGGACACAAACCTTAACAGATCTCAAAGACATATCTAAAAACGGAGCCCTCCCACCGGCAAGGGCCGGGATCCGCTACGCTCCCATGACCCTAAGGCCACCGGAGACGAGGCGGATCAGCGCCGGCGCCGGTGGGACGCAGAGAAACCCTAAATGGGGAGGAGGCGGCCGCCTGAGGAGTCATGTATGTCTATCCAGAAGTGATTTTGACAAAGGATAACTTGTTAAAGCGAAGATGGATGGGTAGTTCGGGATGTTGCTTTTGCGATCAGGATGAAAATATAAAACACCTCTTTCTCGATTGTCCGCTTGCCAAACTGCTTTGACGCACAATTCATATAGCCTTCAACATTAGTCCTCCGACTAGCATCAACGCGTTATTTGGGATGTGGCTACACGGAGTAGAAACAAATATTGTGAGACATATTCGGATAGGGATATGTGCACTATTTTGGCCCATATGGAACCACAGAAATGATATGATATTTAACAGAAAAAATTTCCCCAACTTTTTGCGGGTTATAAACAAGGCCACTGCGTGGATTTGTACGTGGTCGTTACTCAGTCTTGCAGACTCAAGGTAGCTTTTGGCTACTAGATGCAACCGCTGAGAGATGGTAGCCCGGGTTATTTGTCACGCCCAATATGCGACCCTATTCTAAAGGAACTCGAAGGTCCCACCAAGGATAGAAGCGCATATTGGAGATGCTTTTGCAAGGTGGATACCATTACATCGTACCATTACATAATAGATGGGGATACATACAAGAGGCATACAATGCCACACGAATACCACATCATCATACATAAGAGCAACATCCGACTACGGATGAAACACAAACAGAAACTCAAACGACATCCACCCTGCTAGCCCAGGCTGCCGACCTGGAACCTATCCCCTGATCGAAGAAGAAGCAGAAGAAGAACTCCAAAACAAGTAACATCACTCTCGCGTCAAGATCATCGCATAACCTGTACTTGCAACTGTTATTGTAGTAATCTGTGAGCCACGAGGACTCAGCAATCCCATTACCATGGGTATCAAGACTAGCAAAGCTTAATGGGTAAAGGAATGGATAAGTGGTGAGGTTGCAGCAGCGACTAAGCATATATGGTGGCCAACATACATAAATAAGAGCTAGAAGAGAAGCAAACGGAACGGTCGAGAAGCTAGAAGTGATCAAGAAGTGATCCTGAAACTACTTACGCTCAGACATAACCCAAAAACCGTGTTCACTTCCTGGACTCCACCGAAAAGAGACCATCACGGCTACACATGCGGTTGATGACTTTTAATTAAG